CTGTAATTCCGGCTACTTGGAAGGCTGAGGCGGAAGGATCGCCGGAGCCCAGCAGGTCGAGGCCGCAGTGACAGGAGCGGCCACTGCACTCCAGTCTGGGCAACAGAGTGAGACTCCAACTCAAAAACAAACAAACAAAATATGGTACTAATCACAAAAACAAAGGTTGAATTATAAATTTCCTGTATTGCTTGAGACATATAATTCTTTCGTTATGCCATAAAATAATGTCGCATGCTGTATGGTTCAATAAGATTTAAAGAATAAACTTCTGGACAGTTGTACAACAAATAGTTTTCTTCCTATAAATCTCTAAAATAAATTTTATCTGGCGTTCTAACTTAAGTAAAATCAGTATTCAAATTTCAAATGATGATAATAATAATGTACAAAAAAAACACCCTAACGGAGAAGCCAAAATGAGAAAGGGCCAAGTAGAAAGAGCTAACCCAGAAGTAATGTGTTAATTGGCTATCAAGGCCCAAGGTCTTCTACAGGTAGAATCAGTCTCCCAGCAGACGTGAGGCAGGCAGCTGGAATGACCCTCACGACCCCCAATTTATGTACTTCCAGCTTACACCATCAATGCCTGTAGATATAATGCCTCTGACTGTCACAGGTCTCTACATTCTGGCTGGCTCATTGGTAGAAGTGCTTTGACATAGCCAATATCTGAGGGCCCTCAACCTCTGTGAGCCACAGTGTCCAATACAAGGACCTCTGGTCTCATGTTGCAATGCTTCACCCTAAAGCAGAGGTTGCACAGCATCCTAATAACATCAGCACATGAATGATATTTTTCAAAATGTCTTCCCACATAGTGAGCTTCACATCAACTGTGCAAAGTAGAAATTATTTCTATCCACATTTTAGAGATGAGCAAACAGACTCAGAGGCCTTCAGTGATTTGCCTATAACTAGTGATCAAGACTTAAGTCCAGGCCGGATGCAGTGGCCCAAGCCAGTAATCCCAGCACTTTGGGAGTCCAAGATGAGAGGATTGCCTATGCCCAACGGTTCAAGATCAGCCTGGGCAACTTGGTGAGACCTCGTCTCTAAAATAAATCAAAAAATAAGCCAAGCATGGTGGTGCACACCTGTGGTTCCAGCCATCTGGAAGGCTGAGGCAGAAGAAATGACTGAGCCCAGCAGGTCAAGGCTGCATTGGCCGTGAGCATGCTACTGACTGTACTCTAGTCTGGGCAACAAAGTGAGACTCCGACTCAAAAAAACAAAACAAAAAAAAAGACTCAAGTTCATGTCCTTCTCTCACTCACCACTCCATGCATAGATATACTCATATTCATTAGTTGAGTGTCTACTCTGTGCCAAGCACTGTGTTGCCTAAAGCCAAATCATTCATTCTTTCAAGCACTTCCATCTCCCACTTACTCAGCCATGACTCAGTTTGTAGGGAACATTTTATTTCCTCTGCATCTTTTTTTTTTTTTTTTTTTTTGAGTTGAAGTCTCACTCTGTCACCCAGGCTGGAGTGCAGCAGCAAGCTCACAGCCACCCCAGCCTCGACCTGCTGGACTGAGATGAACATTCCAATTCAGGCTTCCAAGTAGCTGGAACTATAGGCATGTGCTACCACGCTCAGCTAATCTTTTGATTTATTGTAGAGACAAGGTCTCACCAACTTGCCGAGGCTGGTCTCGAACCCCTGAGCTCAGGCAATCCTCTCGCCTCAGCTTCCCAAAGTGCTGAGATTACAGGCTTAAGCCACCGCGCCTTGCCCTTCCTCTGCATCTTAAGCACCCAGCACAGGATCCGGTATAGAAAAAGTGCTGAGAAAAGGCTCCAGCTGGCCAGCTCAACCCTAGGTTCCAAGGTTCGAAATTCCCTTAGCTTTTCAGGCTGCATGTGTCTGTGTGGGGATTCAAATGCACACAAATTTGCTTCTGGCTTGAAGCCCTTTGATCCAACAGAAGAGGAAATGTCCTCTCCTTAAAAGCCACAAATAAAGTCTTAGGGAGCTCCAAAAATGTCCTACCATAGTACCATCATCATTTTCCTTTATGTCTTAATCCACTTCATCTACCAGATGGCTGTCACAGTGCTTACAAAGTCTCACCCACTTCCTTTCCTCTCCCATAGCTTTGTCACCCGAAAGAACCGCCAGGTATGTGCCAACCCAGAGAAGAAATGGGTTCGGGAGTACATCAACTCTTTGGAGATGAGCTAGGATGGAGGACACCTTGAAGTTAAACTTGCACAAACTCTTCTGTTGCTGCTTGCTCTTGCCCTAACCAGCTTTGGAGGCTTCCTCCCAATCCCCTACCCTCACCTCCTCCTTGGAGGGCACAGCAGCAGTTATAAAAGCCTCCTCCAGTGAATGCCTGGGAGAGCTACCGAGGCTGTCTTGTAAAAGGGAGTCTCTAGGCTCTGCGTTTCAGGCCCCTTCACTTGGCCATGACTCTGCAACCAGGAAGGAGGTCAGCATGCCTCTAGAGGCAAAAACATCTGGGCTTCTAAGTTCCCATTTCAGCCCATCACCAGGACTGAACAGCAAACATGAAAAAGCAGCTTTCTATTAAAATTACCAATGCAATTACAAATCTGGCTTTTGGTTGTATTTCTTCCTCAGGAACCCTCCTTCTCCACGAGCATTAAGCATGCACACTGCATCCAGGGGATGCACACACCTGATGTCCAGCCTAGACTGTGGAGCTGTGGTTCTGTCCAGTGAGCAGGGCTGAGAGCAGAAGCTCTCCAAGAAGGAAGCATGGGTAGGCAGAGCAATTTAAGTAACCCACGACTTATCCACTGGAGGGTGGGGGGAAAGAACAGTCACTATGTCCCTACCCTCAAGTCCCCAGGAGTTTAACTCACTCCCACCACAGCACCTTCCTGTTGCCTCAGACCTTGGTTAGCCCTTCTACCCTAGCCTACCCTACACCTCATCCCTGGTGGGTGTCTTTACCACCCCCTTTGGCCCCAGAATAGAATTTAAGAGCAATTTCAAACATCCTAGGTCTTTCAAATAAGAAGAATGAAGTATAGCCAGTAACTTTAAGGTGGGAGTATCCCAACTTTCCTACCTGTGAGTTCCTTCATGTGAATATATATTGACAATATATACTGTCATAACTATAGTTAACATTAACTGAGCACTCACTATGTGTCAGGCATTGGCGCAGTCCCTCACATTCATCATCCTTCTTTATCCTTATAATCCTATGGGGTTAGGTACTATTATTAGCCCTGTTTATAGTTAGGGAAACCTTTGGCAAGAAAGCAAAATGATTTGACCAAAGTCCCAGAGCTCAAAGAAAAATAAAGCAGGCAAGGAAGTTTTACAGTTAAGATTAAACCCACGAGGTCTAAGGCCAAAGCCCATGTTTTTGTTTTTGTTTCTAACCACCTTCAATTTGCAAAATTTCAAACCTACAAAAATGTGCAATAGGGCTGGGCACAGTGGCTCATACCTATAATCCCAGCACTTTGGTAGGCTGAGGCAGGAGGATTGCTTGAGCCCAGGAGTTCCAGACCAGTCTGGGCAAGATAGTAAAACCTCATCTCTACAAAAAAGTACAAATTAGCCAAGCATGGTGGTGCACATCTGTATTCTCAGCTACCTAGGAGGTTGAGGCAGAAAGATCGCCTGAACCCAGGAGTTTGAGGCTGTGATTGGGCCACTGCACTCCAGCCTGGGCAACAGAGTGAGACCCAAGTTCCAAAAAATAAATAAGTAAACAAACAAATAAATTTACAAGAATACATCATATACCCTTCATCTAGAATCAAATATTAACATCTTATCACATTTGCTTTATGTGTGTGTGTATGGTTAATATATACTTTTTTCTCCTGAGCCATTTTAGAGTATGTTGCAGAAGTGATATCACTTCACCCTTAAAAGTTTTAGTAGGTGTCTCCTGATAACAAGGACATTCTAGTATCTGTATAGTTTTAGTATCCTTTAACATATTTTTTTTTGTCTTTAAGGAAATTGATATTTTTTAGGGTTCAGATTTTTGTAGAATAGTTCCTAGTTTGGATTTGCCTGATTATTTCCTCATAAATAGATTCAGATTAAACATTTTTAGTAGGAATACCACATGGGTGATGTTGTCTTTCTCGGTGCATCATGTCAGAGCACGTGATGTCAATTTACTGGTGATGGTGACTTAGTGACCCATGTCCATGTTTTCTTGCTAGAGTGAGAGACCTGCTGTGTGCCAAGGACTATGTTATGCACGGGGGTGAGGGGAGAGGGGGAAGGGGCATGAGGCAGTCAAATAGAGAGGTGAATAAGCCACAAACCACAGTCTTGACCATTAGGCAGCTCACAGTCCAGTGAGGAAGATGGACCTATGAACAGATTATACATATAATAAACACAAAGTGCAGCAACTGTACAAAAGGCTGTGGTCACGTTGTGGGGTGGGTGGGGGGATTACATCACTGTGTAGGGTGAGGCAGGGAGTCTGGGGAAGGAGAGAGAGTTCAGAGATGAGATGACATTTGAGTGGACTTTGAAATACTGGAGTAACAGTTTAACAGGTAGAAAAGGAAGAGAAAGGACTGTGAGCTGCAGATACAGGAGGTGAAAGGCAGCTCCTTACCACTCAGATAAGAGTAATTTAGTCTTTTGTGGGGGGTGGTAAATACAAAGTACTTTCCCATCTGCCATTTTCCTGATGACTAATTCTAAGAACAACCCCTGATCTTAACTAACATGGGTTTACTTGAGCTTGACAGTTCACCAAACGCTTTGACTTTCCTTTCCAATGTATACCTCACCACAGCTCCTCTAGCTAGCCAGAAAGGCATGACTTTCCCACTTTTCAGATGAGAAGCCTGAAGCTCAGAGAGGTAAAGAGACTAGATCAAGTCCACAGGCCAGTAGATGCCTGGGCTGGGGCTCAAGAATGGAACGTGAGTGTTCTATTTACCAAAGGAATCTGGTTGCTCAGCACTTGGAATCTTCTACTTCCAGAGATCTGAACACCTCATCGGTCCCTCTTGTGCCACAGAGGACAGGTATCCTCCAGCTGTGCTCCCATTCCCCCAACAGCCCTGTGTTTCCTGTTCTCCAGTTCCCTCTGACTCATTAGGAGAAGAAGAGGATGACCTATGAAAATTTAGCCGATATCTTCAACATCTCTAGGACAATGTTCATGTACCCATGGCTGGAATATCCACACAGGACAAAAGGTGAGGCTGGAATGGACAGTAACAGAGCCAGGGTCAGGAGTCAAAAAAGAAAAGCCACCTGAGCCGGGCTCGGTGGGTCAACCTGTAATCCCACGCTTTGGGAGGCTGAGGTGAGTGGATTGCCTGCGCCCGCGGGTTCAAAACCCACCTGGGCAACTTGGCAAGACCTCATCTCTACAATAAATCAAAAAATTAGCTGGGCATGGTAGCGCGCACCTGTAGTTCCAGCTACTTGGAAAGCTGAGGTGGAAGGATTGCCAGAGCCCAGCAGGCCAAGGCTGCAGTCGCCAGGAGCGGCCACTGCACTCCAGTCTGGGCGACAGAGTGAGACTCCAACTCAAAAAAAAAAGAAAGAAAGAAAGAAAGAAAAGCCACCTGGCTGTCACTTCCAAGCAAAAGCCTAGGTGAGTTCAGCAAATTCATGAGAAAGGTCAGGGCAGGCCCTTGGACATTTTGAAGACTCCCCACAGTTTTGAATGTAAGTCTCCAACTCATCAGCTGGGCCTGCAGGGCCCTCTAAGATGGGACACACCTGTGTGTCTTCCCAGCTTCTGCTCCCACACCTGGCCACCATTCTCTATCCACCTGCACCCCACTCCCCCAACTTTCACACCTCCAATTAGGTGTTCCCCATGCCTAATGACCTTCCCCCTTATCTATGTGGTTGTACTGAAGACTAAACTTGCATATAATCCCTCCTGGGAAACCTTCCCTGATTCTCCCAGCCAAGTTATGTGCGCCTCATCTGTACTACCTGTTCCTGTATCTACCTTCACATCCATTTCCCTCTGTTAATCACTGAGAAACATGTCTCTCCAACTAAACCAAGGCTTCTCAAAATGTGGTCCCAGCATCAGCATCTTGCTAGAAATGCAAATTCTCAGACCCGACCCCCCACTAGTGGATCAAATACTGTGACATGGTAGACAATATACATTCAGCACACTCCTTGACTATGGGGTTATGTCCCAATAAGCCCATCCACTGTCACTTGAAAATATCAACAATATTTTTAACTTACAATGGGTTTGTTGGGATGTGATGCCATCGCAAGCTGAGTCGCATCTATGATGTTTATAGTACTGTTGAGGTGTACTATACTGTTTTAACAAGCTCCCCAGGTAATTCTAATGCACACCCAAGTTTAAGAAACTGAACAACACCAATAGTTTTTACCCTCAGCTGCACATTTGAATCTTCTGTGGTGCTTTCTGAAACATCTACACCCCATCCCCACAGAATCTGATTTGATTAGGCTGATGTAGGCTGTAGGCATGTTCAAAGCTCTTTCAAATAATTCTAATATGTAGCCAAGGTTGAGAACACCCTGTTGAAGTTCTCAAACTTCAACATACATAAGAATCACCTAGGGATCTTGTTAAAAATTAAGATCCTCATTCAGTAGGTCTGAGGGTGGAGCCTGAGATCCTTCATTTCTGAGAAGCTCCCAGGCTATGGCAATGCTGTAATTCCATGGACAACATTTTGAGTAGCAAGGTACTAGAAGAGTAGAAGCCCCTTAAGGGCAGGAATTATCTCCCTGATGTCTGGTACTAGTCTTCACTAAATGATGAATAAATGAATGCCTGGAAATGATTCTTTAGCCCACCTTTACAATTTGTGTTTCATTTGTACCACACACATGCTCTTATCCCTCTTCCCAGAATTCAGAAAAGCCATGGCTCCTGTTCACCTGCCCTTGTCCTGCTACCAGGTAAGTACCTTAATTCTGCCACCATAGGAGCTGTGAAAGTAGGAGGGGTAGCAAACTATCCCTTCGAGTTCAGGACAGCTCACAGAACTCTGACATGTGTGACCTTGGACTAGTCACTTTCTCTTTGCCACAGGCCAGCCCCTGCCCATCTCTTTCTGTAGAGTTCCTATGAGACAAAGTCTAAAAAGCCTGGGCTATGCAGGGAGTGCTTATTAATGGGTGCCATATTTATTAGTTAACACAGGAACCCTCACAGTTAGGATTGCCAGATAAAAAACAAGATGCCCAATTAAATTTGAATTTCAGATAAACAACAGATGGTTTGTGCTTTTTTAGCATAAATGTATCCCAGATATTTCATTCATTACTTGAAACCCAAATTTAACTTGATGTCCTGGATTTGTTTGTGGAGTTTTGTTTTGCAAATATGGCATCCCTAATCTCTGCGACCCAATGCTCTGTTTTCTGAAATCATGCCAATCCCTTGAGAACCCATATTTTGATCTTCTCAGTCACCAAGTTAAAGCCACTAGCTGAAGCCATTTTCCTCGTTGCCCAAAGAAATTTGTTGTAACGATAGAAAGGCTTGAGAAGAGACAGGAATGGATCCCAGACAAATCCTCAGGGAAAGCCCCTGACCCACCCCAACCCCTCTGTATAGTCAAAGCTGTAGTTTCACAGTTGTTTAAGAGGGAGACTATTTCAAGAAAGTCTGTTTTTCCAACTAAACTGCTAAGTTCCATGAGGCAGGGATGATAACTGCAACCCTAGCACTTGACACTGGCAGGCACTCAAATATCTGAGTAAGCAGTAGCCTTTTGTTTCACCATTACTCCATATCTCCCCCACCCCTTGCCTTTTCGTCTACCTGCCCAAATGATTTTTCAAAGAGCTTTGAGATCCTCAACTAAACAATGTTCTCAGATTGATTTACAGATCTCCAATGTCTTCACAATCTAGATCTCTTTTGATCTTCACAGCAACCTTGGGAGGGTAACAGAACGAGAATCATCAGCCCCATTTCACAAATAAGAAGACTGAGACCTTGGTAGGATGAAGTCACTTGCCCAAGTCCCACCATGGGTTAGGTGATAGCTATGACTCCAGGCCAGATGAGAGGCTGAAGGGCTGTCTCACCCTCCTCTCCCTTCCCTTCACCCCCCTTCTCCCCTTTCCTCTACAAGTAAGGACTAGGGGACCCCTCTGACTGCTCCTCTACCACTCCCCCCTGCCCCCTGCCAGATACCAAAGGAAGAGTTTCCTCCAAGTCCGGAGTGTTGGAGGCAGCACCCAAGCAAGCCAAACTCGGTCCCTTACTGCTACTCCAAGAAGCCTGAGATCTACACACACTGGCACACCCTGTATAATCAGCGAGAGGAACGAGAGGCCCAGAAGATGTTGCGGAAAATGCAAGATCACCCCAAGTATGCTTTGCCTGCTTCCATATTTTCCTCACCCTCCACATCTTCTAGGAAAGAAAGGAGGGACAAGGAAGGGGTAGGCCAGGGAGTGGGGCAAGTCAGCATACAGGTCCTAAAGAGGAGCCTGGATAGAAGTGCAACTCGGCTCAGCTCAGGTGGGTATCACTGAGACCTCACCTGCCTTCCTCTGGTTTCATCTCTGAGCTGAGCTGAGGCCCTGTGGCAGAGGCAGGGTTGCAACATGAGGAGGGAAGGTACAAGGCAACCGAGACTGCCTGTGCAATTTCTCTCTCACACAGGTACCTCAAAGAGGGGACCCACACCCCAAAATTCCATCTACCCATGAGCAAGTTGATTACAAAATCTCAGGTGGGATCCAGGCCCTTAGAGCCTACCAGAGACTCCCTGAAGTGGCAAAGGTTAAAGGTCAGGACCATGGTGGAGGGGGATGGGGAGACTCCCTCCCTATGGTTGCTTTTACCTTAGGCTCACACCACACTTCAGCCCTCAGTCCCTGCCTGCAAAATGGAGGGAGAGAAGGGATTGGATTGGATGGGCTCCTTTAAGTTTGAAGTTTTACAACTACATTTTCTTTCTTCCTTTCCACTGGCTGCCTTAAATGGGCAGGAACTCACAGAAAGCCTGAAATCTCCTAGAGAGGATGAGCAGTTCTATGCAGCACAGGTGAGAAGAGGCAAGGGTGGAGGAGGGTGGATATAGCTAGGCATTGACTGACCTGGAAAGTAAAGAGCTGCTTGAGGTGGAGGGTGGGAAGGGGTGGGATTCCAGGTACAACCTCCAGTTGTGTCCAGAGGATAGTAACTCCTGGGGGTGGTATCCAAGGTCTCTTCCCTTTCCTCCAACCCTCTTCCTGCAGGCTCTGGGGTGCTTGGGCATCAGTGACAAGTTTATCATGGAGGCACTACGGCAGGTGGTGAGTCTGCATGGAATTCAGGAAAAAAGGAAATAGGGTCTGAGATGCGTAGAGTGTGGACCCATGTGTACAGACAAAGATCTCCAGGGTGCCAGGATAATGGCTCAGACCCAGCAAGGTGTGTGGCATGCCCCCATCTCATGCCCCTGGCATCTAAGAAGAGAAGCTGGATCTGAAAGATGGGGAAGGGAGAATCTGAAAAATCCCCTTGGTGTAGCAGAAAAGACACTTGACTGAAAAGCCAGGAAAGCCTAAATACCAGGACTGAGTATATTCTCTACCTTAACTGAAAACACCCCGTGTTTGTATGCCAGTTTACCATTAGGAGCATGCATTCTTATCTACAATCTCATTTTAACTCTTACAAGAACACTAGGAATAGGTATTAGTATCTGTATTTTTCTAATGAGAAAATAGAAACTCTGAGAGACAAAGAGACTTGCCCAAGGCCAAGTGGCTACTGGGTACCAGATAGAGATTCGAACAGATGTCTAGCTCCCAAATTCATTGTTCCTTCTACTGTACCATCTTGTCTACATTATGTATTTGAGCATAGACAGGTCACTTTCTAGGACCCAGTCTCTTCTTTCGTAAAATGAAAAGTTAAGCTGAGTTATTCCCTAAAATTCTGCCATGCCATTGCCTTATTATTTTTCTGTCATCCATCTCTTCTTAAATTAGGCCCAAAACGGTCCAGAGAAAGTGAAGTATGAGGCCTATCGAACCCTGGCCCTCCTGGGTGAGTATGTCCTCTTCCTGGGAAGGGAGATGGGGGAGGTGAAAAAGTGCAGCCACTTTCTTCTTTAGGTAAGGACAAAAAGGAGGAAGTATACAACCACTCCAAACCAGAATTTGGCAAGGTCTGGGAACTATTCTAGGTACACTGAACAGAGAGGAAGGTGGGTGGAAAGGGAGAAGAGATTAGAGAGGCAGAGGGAGGGCTCCTGGATTAAGCTCATGCTCAGCTGGCTGCTCTGGGGTTCTGAGAAGTTAGGCAACACCTTGTCATCTAGTACTTAGAACTTGGGATTTGAGGGCACAGTGGAGTTCAGTGGGTCCTTACAGAAAGGAACAGTATTTGAGGCTCTGCCCTGACCTGAGGACCCTCCCTGTCCAGGTTGCCTGAATAAGCATGTGATCCGGGCTCTCATCAAACAGCTGAAGGGGCAAAACGAGGGTCAAAGGATGGAGGCATTGACGGGGCTACGTACGGCTCTGAACTCTTGGGCTGCTGTCCCTAAAGACAAGGTGATTGGGAAGAGAGTCTGTATTTGGGGCAAAGCAGGACAAGCTAACTGATAGGTCTGGCTGGGTGTTGGGTCAGGAAGAAGGTAACCTAGCTCTCAGTTTTGATGGAGAAGACATTGTCCTTGTGGAGTTCCCTCTGGAGTTGAATAGAAGCATATGGTTTGACCACTTACATCAGATAACCTCTGAAAAGACAACTTTCAGAACTTTCAGAACCCATTGCAGTTTATTCATTTAAAATAGAGACAGTACAGAGCGTCCCTTACAATGGTTACAATTACAATTTCTCACCTTTACAATGGTGCGACCAAGATACACCTTTGGTATGCTCCTCAACCTGCCATAGGGTATATCCCAATAAACCCATCCAATGTAAGTTGAAAATATCAACAATATTTTCAACCTATGATGTGCTTGTGGACATGATACCATTGTAAGTCAAGAAGCATCTATAATTTTTCTAGTACTGTTGAGAAGATAATGTATATAAAGAATGTATATAAAAGGTCTAGTACAATGCCTTTGCTCTTTAAATGGTAATCATCATCATTATGTTCCCTAAAATAACATATTAAAGTAAAGCCTCTGTCAAGAGAGGATGGGGCCCAAGAGAGTCCTCTGACACTACTCACAGTTTTTCTCCCCTTTTGGGGTTCTCTTCCTTGGACTCCCATCACTGCTCCATATAAAAAAGAACCCATCATTCATTCATCTATTTATTCAGCAAATATATATTAAGCAGCTGTCATGAGCCAGACACTGTCCTAGGCCCTTGTGAACTAAACAAGCAAAGATTCCTGCCCCTGTGGAGTATACATTCTAGTGAAGGGAGACACCCAATAACCAATACATTTGGTTAGAAAATTACATAGCATGTTAGAGGTGACAAATGCAATGTGAAAAATTATGTAGGAAGGGTAAAGGGCGATCAAGAGTGCCAAGTGGGGATGAGGATGGGTTGCAATCTTAAATATAGTAGACAGGGAAGACGTCATTTAGAAGGTGCACTTGAGCAAAGACATAAAAAAGGTGAGAGGGTTAGCCTTACATATATCTGAAAGGACATATTCCAGAAGGACCGATGCGAAGGCAGGAGCATGCTTGGCATGGTCAAGGAACAGCATGAAATCTGATGTGACTGAAATGGAGTAGGACCACAGCGATAGGAAATAAAGTTCAGGTTAAAGAAGTAAGTAATATCATCTGGGGCCTTCTGGGCTATTTTAAGTACTTGAACTTTTACTCTGAACGAAATAGGGAGGAGCATTAGAGGTTTGTGAGTGCAGGGGAGGGGCCAAAAGTGGAAGAAGGGACACCAAAGGGGCTACTGAAACCATCCTGGTGAGATGTAATGGTAGCTTAGACCATGGTGGTCACAGTGGAGTTGGTAAGAAGTTATTAAATTCTAGATATATTTTAAAAGCAAAACTCTGACAGGTTGAATGTGAATTGTAAAAGACATGAAGAAACAGGATGAAGCCAAGGTTTTTGACCTAGCAACTGAAAAGATGAAGTAGTCATCAACTAAGGTCAAGAAAGCTACAGGTGGAATGGGTCTGGGGGTAACATCAGAAGTCCAGTTTTGGACAAGTTATGTTTGAGATGTCTACTGGTAATCCAAGAGAAACAGCAAGTAAATGGTTAAATATACAATTGAAATTTAGGAGAGAAGTCTGAACTAGAGAAAGAAATTCGGGAATTGTCGGCCTATAAGACAGCACTTACTGTCACAAACTAGATGAGATCACTGAGCTTTAGGGCACTCCAGTGCTAGGGGATCCACATCCCATAAAGTAGGGCAAATAAAGTAGGAAGACAACCAAGAGTGCGGTTTTCTTAAAATCAAGAACATATATCCAGGAAAGGAGAGAAATCAACCATATCACATAATGTAAGGACTGAGAATTGATACGTAGATTTAACAATGTGAAAATCATTGATTATCTTAATAGAACCATTTTGGTGGGGTGGTAGAGGTGAAGGCCTAATTGGGCTTAAGAGAGATTGGGGAGAAATTAGAGACAGTATGTATGGACAACTTTCCAAGTTTTGCTAGAAAAGGTAGTAGTTGGCACCAGAAGTAGAGTCTAGGAAAGAAAAAAAAAAGCCCAGCATGTTTCTATGCTGAGGGGTAATGATCCATTATTAGAACAAATAACAATAATTTTGAATAGAGTGGAAAGAGTAGCAATGCCCTTGAGTGATGTCCTTAAGTAGGTGAGAAGGAATGAGATCTAATAACCAAGTGAAAAGACTGGCTTTAGATAGATGGTTATAGTCCACAGTAACAAGTGGAAAGGAAGAACACAGGAGTGCAGGTATTGGAAGTTGGATAGAAATGATAGTAGTTATGGAACTTCTTTTCTAGTTGCTTTTGTTTTCTCAATGAAGTAGAAAGCAAGGTCATCAACTGAGAGTAAGAATAGAGGGGAAACTATTAGAAGTTCCAGAGAAAAGTGTGTGAATTAGGAGAGTGAGAACAAATTACCCAGGGAAAAGCAGTACAATTACCAGGCAGCACTAAGACCTACATGAGGTTTGTGTTCATATGTTTAAAACAAGATCAGTCAACATAACTGTGGGCTTTTCTCCAGCAAGCATAGACACAGAGTAAGTGGGGAGTTAGATTTAACTTGGATTGTGGTTCTGTCAAGGGAGTACAATGGAGTGAGAGTGGTTAAAGGAGTTGAGAGTGAGATAGGGGAGTGATTACAGCAGGACCATGGAATTTAAGTTGGGCAAAAGAGAGAAGGAGGTGAGGAGCAGTGCAAGGTGGTAGGCTCAATGCACTGTTAGTCGTTTTGTAGTCAAATGATTGTTGGCATCAGGAGGTGAGCTGGAAAAACAGGTGGTCAGAGAGTGGGATCCATGACATGGAGATTATGGAGAAGCTGCAGTTGTGGGTAATGAACTGGTCTCTCTGTGAGATTAGTGGCTGAGGTAGAATGGAGGAAAAGGTCAATGGAGGGGAGGTGATAAATTACTTACATGTTTGGTTTTTTTTGAGTCAGAGTCTCACTCTGTCGCCCAGGCTGGAGTGCAGTGACATGCTCATGGCCATCACCACAGCCTCGACCTGCTGGGCGCAGGCGATACTTCCACCTCAGCCTTCTAGTAGCCAGAACCTTGTCTCTACGATAAACCAAAAAATTAGCTGCGTTAGGTGGCGCACACCTGTAGTTCCAGCTACTTGGAAGGCTGA